TAGTATTAGTTCAACGTCAAAACTGGAGAAATCCGTATTGTAATAATATCGCATCAACTTATAAGGATAGCTAAAAATTACATTTCCTTTTGCTTCCTTTTTTTATTTTGAAGGTAGGTTTAGGACATGCACAACTTACACTTTTACTTTTTACACGAACTTAAGGAAAGAAAATTCTGTAACATTTTTAATGAATTATGTTTTCTTGTGTCCGCCATTACCAATTTGGAGTTCGCGTACCCTCAATGGGTCCTTCGCGTACCTCCAGGGATACACGTACCACAGATTGGGAAGTTTCCACATGAGTTGGGAACGAAGTGCCGAAATTCGGATCTATGACGCCAACTGTGGGTGTGCCTATATTTAACTTTAACACCACACCGCCTATCCGAGTTGGTATAGATGTAGGTGGACTTTATTGAGTTGCAAATAAAAATTACTGCAAGAGAAGAATGACAAATGAAGAATTTACAAAGCTGGTGTTAACACATAGAATTGACGACAAAATAAAGGAATATATTATTACGAAAATGGAAAGTTGCTTCCCAGCAATGTTGGTCTTGTGGTTGGGAAGAGGTTTTACAAGGTTAAGCATGGAGTGAAGGACTTCGGCCGTCCTGGGATCCCTGACCTTGGCGACCATTTTGGCGACAGATTTGGAGACATTGGCGACAAAGAGACGATTCCAGAAAATGCAACCCTTTTCTCGATATCTCTATTAGGAAAGGGAATACGCTTGAATAGACGAGAAAACTTCACGTGACGTCACGGCCTGTCGGAGAGAGTATATAAGGACCGCGTTTGGATCAGAGGGAGTAGTGTTTTTCCACTGGAACGACTTTAGAGTTTCATCTGCAGTTCGAGCTAGGAAGCTGGTGAGCTGAGGGCTATTGAAAGTGCTGTTATTGTCGTTGTTAGTTATTTGCTGACTGTTTGTGTTGCTAAATATCAAAGTGCTGAACTGTTATTAACTGTGAATTGAACACGTGAACTGTTTACGTTGCTAATCTGTGCAAGAGCTATTGTTTCCTGTACCTGTGCTACGTGTTTTCCCGCATATTTGTGAATAAACCTTCATTCTCCATTATCCTGCGTGTTGGACTGTTTACACCATACACCCACAGAAAGACTTTTGTAACAATATACAATATATTGAATAACACAGTGTGACTGAAAGAAAAATGATGAATGTAGATGATGATGAACAGCATGAGGAAGCTTACATCAATGCACAGGTTTTGAGTGACGTATTAGTGTTAGTTGTGGAATACAAGGAATAGGAAGATTACTATTAAACATTTATGAGAAAGGAAGGACTTAGTATATTCAGCGTATTGAGTGCAGGATAAGCTTGAGTTATTGCACAAAGGCAGGTGAGTACTTATTCCAGTCGCGTTATGTTTTCATTGTCTATTATGAATTGAATCATGTTTATTATTTTTTTTTCTTGAATTCGGATTCTCCAGAACTTTTTGGTACCACAGACTTTCCAGTGAAGTAGAAGGTTTCAAAATACGCCAACAGAGAGTCAATGGGCAAGATATCGCATAGTGGATGGGATCTCCGCAGGCACAAGAGTCACTATCCGATAAATGGAAGCGGTTAAGGAATGAAGGGAATGGACCGTGTCCTGTGAGCATATAACCGACCTTTACTTCAATTCGGACCAGAGAAAATAACGGAGCTCGCTGATTGGTTGGCTCACTGACGTCACGCTTTCCCACCCAATTGCAAAACTTACAAGTCATACGCTCTCTAGAAGGCAAAATACTTATGAATTAAAATGTATAATTAAGAAAGAAGGAAAATCATAAGAGCAGCAATATTTATTTCAATAATTCCAATATTTGATTTATTCTCGAAATGTATTAGAAATATACGCATACATGTCTTGTTTTTGTTTATTAGAATTTCTTAAAAAAGGTTTAAAATTATGTAAATCTCATAAATTAATATTGTTATATTTTATGTTAAGTATTTTAAAAAGGGTACAACATAATGAATAAAAAAAGTGCACTTATGAGACTAAAAAATGTCTCTTAATATGCAAGCTAAAGAAAGTAATTAAAATTTATAAGCTCACGTATTGCTTATTTCCTACAAGGCTTCGAGTTCGGCGAAATAAACGTGACGTCATGAAGACGCTAAGGGAAGCAGCCAATCAACGAGCTCGGTTATTTTCTCTGGCCCGAATTGAAGTAAAGGTCGGTTATATCATACAGTTCAGGATAAACGATCTTTTCTGAAATGTTAAAAATTACATAGCAATTACCCGATTTTCAGTCGAATGTTTATCCTAAAGATGGATAACCATAAGGAAACGTTCGATTATCTTCTAATTATTCATTTCCTTACAGATAATTAATGGGTATTTCTGTAGTCTATCGCCCTATTTTAGATTATTAACTTGTTGTGATTTATTAATGGGTATTTCTGTAGTCTATCGCCCTATTTTAGATTATTAACTTGTTGTGATTTATTAATGGGTATTTCTGTAGTCTATCGCCCTATTTTAGATTATTAACGTGTTGTGATTTATTAATGGGTATTTCTGTAGTCTATCGCCCTATTTATCCTATATGCGTCCTGTGACAAACAGAACTTCTTCACGTATTACGATCCCCATCCCTGACTTGGGAAAGAGGGGGGTTCCCTTTAATAGGAGATATGCTTGAAGACATGTGCTAACTAGCACACCGCCCCTTGGCGTCGCTTCCCTCGTGGAAGTGCCTTGAACGCATTCTCGAACGCACTACGATCTTTCGGAAACGACTGGCCAATAAACTCAGTACAACTCTGAGGAGTGGATGACGCGATTCACGGGTCGATTAAGAACGCGGCCAGCTGCGAGATTTGGTTTGAACTGCAGGATTCATTGAGCACTGATTTCATTGAGGTCTCGGGTCCTCGCCTGTCTGAGAGTAGGACTTGCAAAGGATAGCTTGTTTTTCCAATTGGCTGTGCCGGAGTCCTTCGGGGATTTTGTCGGCTCAAGCACTCATAGGATCCTCCCCGGTCGAGAGAGCACAAGCCCTAGTGCCAAGGGAACCGAAACCCCTTTTGTTTATTCAGCGACTTCTCATTCTCGAACTCGAGTAGACACCCCATGGTTGCAATATGGCAATAAGACAAATGTAGTGTCTTTGTTAACCCACCTTTAGACGCAGTCATTTTTACCTTAAATGGTCGCAATGTATTGTACGGATTTAAGTCTACTGTATGAAATGTTCACCCGGTTTTGATAATTTTTCTTTTATAGTTGCAGGGGTGGCGCCAGTGTGGTGTCCGGAGGGGCCAGGGCCCTCCAATCGGAGGTGGCCACAGGCGCAAAATTCTTTTGAGGCTCCTCCCCCTAAATAATGTCGCAAATTCGCCATCGGCTAAGCAACCCGATATGCGTCAAACTGATTTTGAGGCCTCAAGCGCAACGGGCTATTCAACTAGTAGAAAAATAAAGATCTGGCGAAAATTTGAGAATGTCGTCATTAGGCCCATGCTCTTGTAGTAGGGATGGCGGTTATTGAAAAAAACGGTTTTCGGTTAAATCGGTTTTTTTCACCTCCGGTTTAATCTGGCGGTTAAAACCGCTCAAAATAACCGGTTTTCGGGGTTTTTTTACGCCATTCCTTGTAGTAAGGATGGCGGTTATTGCAAAACAACCAGTTTTCGGTTAAACCGGTTTTTTCACCTCCGGTTTAATCTGGCGGTTAAAACCGCTCAAAATAACCGGTTTTCGGGGTTTTTTTACGCCATTCCTTGTAGTAGGGATGGCGGTTATTGCAAAACAACCAGTTTTCGGTTAAACCGGGGTTTTTTCACCTCTGGTTTAACCTTGGATTTAAATCCGCTCAAAATAACCGGTTTTAGAAAAAAAAAGATTTTGGGGTTTTTTTAAAAAAAACAACGTTTGTGGACAGAATTTATTATTATTAATAATATACAATAAGTAAGCATTAATACAATAATTAATTAATTAATAAGTTATGATTATAAATAAGTAATTAATACAATATGTAATAATAATAAATGACTAATTATTGCAATAAGTAAGTATTATACACAAAATTTTTATTAACATTGTTTTCACAAGAAATTAATGCATTGGCCAATATTTACCATCTAATCTGCTGGTAAAGAGTCAGCAATGTTTTGATCCGTGAGTCGACACCTCTCATCGGAAACAACATCATTCAACGTAGATACTAATCTTTCGGACGCCACGGAACTTCCGACTCAAGATAAATATTTTTTGGCTACAAAAAACAGACGCCGTTTGCAGACAAAAATTTTTATTAGTATTGTTTTTGAAGGAAATCAATCCATTGGCCAATATTTATCCGTTCATAAAGACTTTCAGTAATCCGACAACCAACAGACGCCTCGAAGAAGCGGTTGTCGGTGATTGGCCTAAGATGATGAAATTCAAAGCTTTATAACTTGCTAAATTTTAGTCTAGTCGAACCTAAAATCGAGCCTATCTTCCGACACGGTTAACAGGTTTAAACCGGGGCAAAGAAATAACCGGAAAAAAAGCCGTTAACCGAAACAAAAAACCGGTTTTCGGTTTAAACCGGTAGATTTTTCCCATCCCTACCTTGTAGAACAGGTCATGCCCGCCTATCGGGGAAACCCTACACCCCCATATGTTGGACTGTGCCCCCCGTCTAGCGGAATCTGACGCCACTCCTGTATAATTATGATAATTAGTCCTAATAAAAATACAAATGAGTGTAGGAAAAATATGTTTAAAACGGAACTGTAAGAAACGGAATCCTGTTTTAAGTGGAAGAAATATTTGATCCCGTCGGAAATCCTCATATACTAATGAGCCCTGTATAAAACGGAATCCTGTCTAAAACGGAAAATTTTTCTAGTCCCTTTAGATTCCTTTCAGTACAGGTTTTACTGCAATAGATTGCATGCGCATTTAATAAAAATTGCGATTTGCGTGGGTTAAATTGAAGACAAATTTTATTTCATGTTTACCAGAAACCAACTGAAACGATTTGCGCTTGTCAACACAAAGCGACTTCTACGACTTTCATTTGTAAGTAAATATGCAGTTACAGGATTAATTTATTGTCCGTTTTTCGCGTTTCAACAATTGAAATAAACTTTCTTATGAAACCAATGCTACACAGTGGCGACCCGTGTTATGTAATCGTGGGAGTGCTGGTTGATGATGAGTTTTCTTATGTTATACTTTCCTCTTTTGAAACTTTGAGAATTAAGATAGACTAGCCGCTCTCGCCGACCTCAAGGCGGCTTCGCGGCCAGCACCCACTTCGCTCAGCACTACCCCTGCCACCTCGCTGCTTCGAGGCTATCAACCAATACTTTTTACTCTCTCGTATAGAAAGAGAAAGTATTGTAATCGTCAAAAAATTCGAACTCGAGATTTTGGCGAATCTCTCTTTTTACTTTCTCGTATACGAGGTATACAAAGAGAAAGTATTGTAATCGTCAAAAAATTCGAACTCGAGACTTTGACGAATCTCCACGTTTTAGACCTCCCTGAGTCCGAAAAACACAATTTCGGAATTATGTCTGTCTGTGAACACGATAACTCGAAAACTATTAGAGCTACGGGTATGGAGTTTGGTATGTGATCTTGACACATAATTTGTAGGTTTCTATCACATTCTGGACAAAATCCGTCTACGGGAAGTCTGCCTGTCTGTCTGTCCGCAGTCTTGCGAACACTATAACTCAAAAACTTGAATAGCTAGATGGATAACATTTTGTAACAGTTTTATCGTCATGAATGTAGGTCCGTATAAAATTTTGGGCCAAATCCGTCAAAGGGTTGACTGTTTGTCGGTCTGTATAATTTACTTTTGAAAAGAATCCGTTATCTCCACGCGCATGCGTACTGGAAGCAATCTGCTGTGCACGCGAAAGGAACGGAACGGAATTTCATTACGGAGTAGCGAATTACGTCAGTTTGTTCTTGAGCCGGTAAGAGAGGAAAATCGTTACACATCTCTTTGAATTTCATTCTTTGCCTAGATATTTTTCAATCACTATAATGAAAAACCTGATAGTCATTGGATTCTGGGTAACAATAGGTTCGAATTTTTTTAGGCACGCGGGGGAAGGGAAAACGGCACCTTTTCGGGGAAGTATACGAGCACGTTTAGGGAAGAACACTCCCACTAGTTTCAGTTCAGCATGAAGATCAGTAGAATAGACCATAAAACCTTAGTAGATTTCATATTCTTTATAGACAACACATTCCTTTAAAATTGCAAAATCTTTCCATAAACCTCATCTAGTTGTAATGTTTTGTATAAATTTTTCACGAATTTCGGCATGAAAGTCTTCAGATCCATAAATACAGAATGAAATCGCCCTAAATAAATAGTTTCCATCACCTGTAATAGGTATTTTGCAATATTTTGGACACGCCATTGTGATGGAACTGTTGGGATCTATATATTTAAAATAATATGGTAAAACCCTCAGACAGTTCGTCAGCCCCAACCACCTAACCTATTTCGACAATTTTTATTTTATATGAAAGCTTATGACGTCTAGATATGTCATCAAGGGTCGCCTGCTCCCGACCGCCCCCATTTTCGAACGAAGTCGAAAAAACTCTTTCCTACTGTACATTCTCTATGGGGGAAAAATTTTGGACAGTTCGCCAGCAACAACCACCGGACGGATTTCGACAATTTTTATTTCATATGAAAGTTTATGACGTCTAGATATGTCATCAAAGGTCGTCTTCCCCCCCACACACACACCAACCCCCATTTTTGATCGAAATAGAAAAAACACTTCTCCACCATACATTCTCTATATGTTTTCTCCACCATACATTCTCTATATGTTTTTTCCATTTCGTTCGAAAATAGGGTGGTGGGGGGCAAGTGACCCATGATGTCTTATATAGACGTCATAACCTTTCAATTAAAAATAAATTGTCGAAATCCGTCTTCTAGTTGTTGCTGGCAAACTGTCCGAAGATTTTTCCCCATAGAGAATGTACAGTCGGAAAGAGTTCTTCGATTTCTTTCGAAAATGGGGGCGGTCGGGAGTAGGCGACCCTTGATGACATATCTAGACGTCATAAGCTTTCATATGAAACAAAAATTGTCAAAATCGATCGGGTGGTTGAGACTGGCGGACTCGGTGAAGAATTTTTTCTATAGGGGAAAACCCTTGGACAGTTCGCCAGCGTCAACCACCTGACCGATTTTGCCATTTTTTTCATATGGAAGCTTATGAAGTCTAGATATGACATCAAAGGTCGTCTTCCCCACCCCCATTTTTGAACGAAATAGAAAAAACACTTCTCCACCATACATTCTCTATGTGTTTTTTCGATTTCGTTCAAAAATGGGGGTGGGGCAGGCGACCCATGATGACATATCTAGACGTCATAAGCTTTCATATGAAACAAAAATTGTCAAAATCGGTCGGATGGTGAAACTGTCGGACTCGGTGAAGAATTTTTTCTATAGGGAAAAACCCTTGGCTAGTTCGCCAGCTTCAACCACCTGACCGATTTTGCCATTTTTTTTTTCATATGGAAGCTTATGAAGTCTAGATATGACATCAAAGGTCGTCTGCCCCACCCCCATTTTTGAACGAAATCGAAAAAACACTATCTTCTATTTTGTCCGCTGAAGGAGGGCTCTTAACAACCTTTTGAAAGGCATGAAACAAGCTTGAAGAAAGCCTGAAACAAGTTTGAGGAAAGCCTGAAACAAGCTTGTAATAAAAGCTTGGGGAAATCTTATTGAAAACCTTGTTTCTTGTTGACTAGCGAACCTCTCCTGTTCCTTGCCGAAAGGTTCAACCCATGTCATGGAAACCTTTGTGACAACCCTTTACCCTTGCCGAAGACAAGGTTTCCAAAACCTTTTAGACAAGCTTTCTT